GATGAGCACTGGAAACTCAATGGCGCGAATCTGGAAGTGGTGAAGGAATTTAAATACTTGGGATTCTGGTTCTCAACTACAGGCTCCTTTGGCTTGCATGTGAGGAAATTGGCGAACAAGGCCAGGATAGCCACCAACAGTGCATGGGGCCTGATGAAACGCGCCAGGATCAACTCATTGTACAGGAGGCTATATGTCCTAGATGTCATAGGGAAGTCTGGATGCCTGTATGGTGTAGAGCTGTGGGGTTGGGGACGCTTCGACGTCATGCAGAGAATGCAAAGCAGATATATCAAGATGACGATGGGTCTAGCACCCAACACCCCAGCATATATATGGAGGATGGAGGCTGGAAGACGCAGCATTGAGATTGAAGGACGGATGAGGGCATTCAGGTACCTCACGGACACCCTGAGAATGAGTGAGACAAGGTGGCCAAGGAAAGCACTGAGGGAAGAGATTAGAGGGGTTCTTAACCGATACCCCTCGAAGCTAGGCAAATTGATGAGAACCGCATTCGAGGAAGTAGGAGATGGGATCTCAATCAGGTGGATATGGGACCAGGGAAACCTCGAGGAACTAGAGGTCCAACTACAGCACAATCTCGAGACCAAGGAAGACCAGGAGATCCAAGGGGACTGGCACCGGATTGACTTCTCGAAATACTGGCCCCAGTATAAGTACCTGGCAGTAAATTTCGAGGGACAGAAATACTGGAATGACAGAAGCTTAGGGGGAGGCACCAAAGAGCAATGGGCTCGAGTCAGGTGTGGAAATGTTGGCAAAAGTACCCACAAGGGATTCACGAACCCCAACTGTCTGTTCTGCGGCGAGCTGGAGACACTAGAGCACATACTGCGGTGTGGAAGAGTCCTCGAGGCAATTCCAGACTCAATAAAGAGAGATCTGCTCAGCTGGCTGAACCAATGCCCAGCGTATGTGTCTCTTGAGCAGTGGCTCATGGGAGTCCTGAGAGGCAGACCTGTCCTAGCCCTCTGCAACTACCTGCAGGCATTCCACAAGATGGCAAGAACCAAAGAAAGGGAAGCACGAGAGGGGACAAACTGAGGCAAATAGAGCTCACAAACTCGTCGACTCAGCGCAATCTAGATTATGATTCCTTTATTCCTTGAAGTTTATATTTTTCTCTTTATATATTTTTTCTATTGACTCATTGTATGCGTGTACCATAACCTGTAGGTCCCATGTATTGATTATATACAACGTATACATACCCGCGGAAATGTATCATTCTGTAAAAGGTGTAAAGCCATACAGTGGAACAATAAATTATTATTA